GTGGGGCTTGAACTCTGGGCCTGGGCGCTGTCCCTCAGCTCTTCAGCTCAAGGCGAGCGCTCTACCACTTGAGCTACAGCGCCACTTCCTATCACACCTAATTTATATATCAGTTCTTATCTAAGCCAAGAAAATGTTCTAAGCTGCATGGAAACCCTATCTTGTTTTGAGTTCTGCTGTTTATGAAGGAATCCCTCCTGGCTCTTCTAATGCTCCTGGCCAGGTCTCCTTCCCCTGAGTCCTGGGGCTCAAGCAGGAAAGTGGAGGTCCTTCAGCAGCCCCTAGCCCAAGCAGACCCCATCTTCACTTAGGTTCTGTCCCCGCTGGCAGAAGACCAGGGGCAATGGATCAAGTTGTGTGTAGGTAATAGAATGAGAGCCATGGTTCTCCTCCTCTGTGTCTTCCCTGACCTTGCGTGAAGGTAACACCCCTGGCCACCAACCACGGAGGCCACCTGATCCTTTTTTTTTGTTTTTGGTGCTGTTACTGAGGTTTAAGCTCAGAGCTCTGAGCTTTGTGGCTCAAGGCTGGTGCCACAGCTCTACTTCTGGCTTTTTTCCTAGTTCATTGGAGATAGGAGTCTCTGGGACTTGCCTGCTCAGACTGGCTTTGACCCTTGATGCTCAAATCTCAGCATCTTGAGAAGCTAAGATTACAGTGGTGCACCACAAGCACCCACCACACCCATCATCGTAACAATACCTTCCATATCAATCTTTGAATGTGAAGGTCAGCATCTAACTTCTCTGCTTCCTTCTGAAGGGAATAAGAGCCACCATTTGTGGCAAAGAAAGCTAAAGGGGCGGGGCTGGGAAGGTGGCTCAGTGGTAGAGCGCTTGCCTTGCATGCCATAGGCCCTAGGTTCGATTCCTCAGCACCACATAAGCAAAAAGAAAAAAGCCGGAAGTGGTGCTGTGGCTCAAGTGGTAGAGCTCTTGCCTTGAGCTGAAGAGCTGAGGGACAGTGCCCAGGCCCAGAGTTCAGGCCCCATGACCGGACCCCAAAAAAAAAAAAGAAAGCTAAAGGGGCTCTTTGCCTCTATCTGTCTTCATTTGTCAGCTTGTCTCTCTGTCCCTCCAAGTGTACCATGTGTGGGTGCATCTGTGCATGTGTGTGTGTGTGTTTGTGTATGTATGTGTGGTGTGTCTGTGTTTGCATGGATGGCTTAAGCTATTCAGTAAATTTACAGAGCGATTAACAAAAGGTTTTGCATATTCTCTTTGATCATTTCCCTTGTTTTCACAAAGCCCACACTAGCAATCTCAAGCCTGGGTAACTAGAAATATCTAAGCAGAAGCTGAGTGTTCTAAATAGGAACATCAGTAAGTTCAGAAGCAAACATGAGCTGATCAAGAAAATGAGTCTGACACAGTGCAAAACCTCTGCACTGGAATCAGTTAAAGCAGTGGTGAGTAAATGTCACCACACCAAAGCGTTTGCAGCTAATGGATGACTCGCTGTTAGATGTGTGGAAAGGGCCAGAAACCTAAGCTACACGACACTAACGATCTAGCACGTTCGATTTCAAAGATGTGAAATACGAAAAGACAAACGACTTACAATTGACCAGTGCTGTGAACTGGGCCAGAGAAGTAAGAGGCGATCTGCAAGCGAGGCAGGCTCAGAATGCTGACCACCCCCCCCTCCTAGTTCCTTCTAGGAGAGGGCTAAGTGTGGTCTCCCCCAGCACCTCCTGGGGGTAATTCCTGGTCTGCTTGCAGAAAAAGTGGGCCAGTTCTAACCAAAGTGAGTCACCAAGTGCCTCGGAACCCCTTCCATCCCCAGCCTGAGCTGCACAACAAATGCCTAAGGCTTCATGCATTTGCACTGCAGCTCCTACACATACGTAAAACCGTGGATGGCCACCTTGTACGTGCGCAGTCTGCGGATGTACAGAAAATCTGCCTGCTTAGCAGGGCACCTGTGGCTCACGCCTGTCATCCTAGCTACTCACGAGGCTGAGATCTGAGGATCGTGGTTCAAAGCCAGCCCAGGCAGGAAAGTCCGTGAGATTCCTCCTTTTCCCTGGGGTCAGCCTACCATCATTACATGAACTCCTCCCATGGGTTTTAAAGCCTAGAAAGCTAGAATTCTTTACCTTGAGCCATTTAGCTGGGACTCGAGCTTTCCTCGAACAGTCTTCTCTCCTTCCTTTCTCTCTAATAAACTTGCTTTGCCAGTTTACATTTGTTGGGAACACTGGGAATCCCGTATCTACACCTCTGTGACCCCACCCCCACCCCCAGGTAACCCCTCTGCAAGGCTGCAGAACCATTACTGCTGGCCAGGAAAGCTTGGAGGCCAGAGACTGGAGGACCAGGGTTGCTGGCAGTGGACCTGGCTCCCAGGAAGATAGGGGATGCAGGGTTGTGTTCAAACCTCCAGGAGGGTGAAGCAGCCTGTCTGAACAAGTGGGCTGGGCAGAGAATGGCTACCCAGAGGCACTCTAAGGGTGAAGCCTTGTGCCATTCTCCAGGTTCTATGGCTTGGGGTGGGCCCTCCTTCACTCCAGTGTTAGAAACTTAATCATGCTTCTTTGGAGGCTGAGGTCTGAGGATCACAGCTGGAAGCCAGCTAAGGTAGGAAAGTTCATGAGACTTAATTAATCTGCAGTGGAGCTGTGGCTCAAGTGGTGGAAGACCACCAGCCTTGAGTGAAAAGCTAAGGAACAGAGCCCAGACCCTGTGGTCCAGCTCTAATATAGGAACAACAGAAGAAAGAGGAAGGAAGGAAGGAAGGAA